CTACTAGCGATGGCCTCGAACCCAAGAGCGATGGCCTCCAACCTACTCCAAACCCGCAACATCAATGGTTTCCATGTGTCCACGCTGAGGGTCGACACGAAAGAACACGGAAAGAAGATAGTATAGGTTGCACGACAACTCTTTCCTGGATCATTCCAGGGAAGCCCCGAACGTAGCGTCCTTGCTTCTAGTAGCGATGCCAGGAGCCCCTAGTAGCTTCTTGTTACTAGTAGTAAGGCACTTGTTACTAGAAGCGATGCACTTGTTCCTAGTAGCTTCTTGCTCCTGGTAGCGATTCTTGCTTGGGTCGCATGAGAAGAGCATCACCCAGCCGTCGTTTGATTTCCTCCGTGTCTGGTCGCTTCGCTTGAGGCCACCCCACTGGTGCGGGCCGCTTTGCAGGGTGCCGGTGGTGCTGAGCACCCCAAGACCCGACATTTGCTGGTGGGGGGGCTCCAGGGAGGATAGTGATGACCTATGTGTTTAGACCGGTCTTTTTTTCATCCTCAATGGATGACTGGGGTGTGCCCAGTTGGACTGGAGATCAAAAAGTGATGGAGGTGTTTCATCCCACATCGACTCCAGATATGGTGCTTTGTTGGATTTATCCTGCAGTAGCTGAAATGGTTGAGATTCACCCTTGAGCCCTCAACCATGGTTTTGAGGCCGGAGTTGAGGAAGTACTTGGCTGAACAGTGAACTGAGACAAGCCCCAGATCTCCATAAGGAAATGCCTCAAGGCCGGAGGGTTTTAAGTGCTCACTCGCTGTAGCTAGTTTGATTGAACTTGTGTGTCTTTGTTCTTCACGGAGACAGCGAGAAACTTCAACATGGCACATGCGGACAAGATTTTTGTTGCAGGTGTGCAAACAGCATCTTGTCTTGGGCCATGGGTTTCATGACTCTCCCAACTAGGTTGAGGCCATTAGCAACTATAGTAACTAGTGGGCCCAGTGGGCAGGAAAAAGCGCTTGAGACGAGGCAATTCTCTATCCACCCAGAGGTAGATGTTCGAAGGCGGGTGACAGGATGATCAGGTGACCTCAAAGACTTCCCTCTTTCCACTGTCCTGTGCAAAATGGCGTCCGGTGTTCGGAAGACCACAGGCTTCCCTATGATTTCATGTCGACTCTTGATTCAGAAATGAAAAAACAGACATGGATTGTAAGAGCTGTCTCACATACAAACAAAGAGCATGATTAGCAAGGACGAGGACGCTACTAGGCCATCGCTCTATTCGGTGGACGACGGAGCGCGACGACCGAACGGGGCGCTCCTCCAGGGCGAGCAGGCCTTGGGCACCGGCGTCGTGGTGCCCTCCGCCGGGGCCCCCGTTGGGTGGCCGTCGGAGCTGACGTTCGTCGCGCTCCGTTCACCGCTCCGTTCGCGTCGCGATGCCCCGAAAGGCTCCGTTCGGTTCGCGTCCGAACGCTCCTAGTAGTATGGCCAGGAGCCCCTAATAGCTTCTTGCTACTAGTAATGGCCTCCAACCTACAAAAATCAGAGAAGCAGCTTCTAAGACTGAAAAAATTCTGAAACAACCGATTGGGGTCAGATGGTTGAGACTGTTGGATGGGCAACAGGCAAAAGGGCCGACTTTGAAAAGACGAATCGTCGGAGAGTACAAGAAGCTACTAGTAACAAGGACGCTATTACGCTATGAGGTGGAGGCCATCGCAAGTAGGTTGGAGGCCATCGCTTGTAGGTTGATTCCCAACTGCCAGGACGAGAGATACCGAGACAAGCTGTTGAAGGCAGCCAAGTCCTTAGTCAGCCAAAAGCTTGGAAAGCCAGGTCAAGGAGGTCAAGAAGAATACTAAATTAATAAAATAAATTAATAGCGAACCTTGTTACTACTAGCAAGGCACTTGTTACTAGTAGCGATGCACTTGTTCCTAGTAGCAAACATTGTTACTAGATGGGAACCCTTTGGTCAGGAAATATCGAGGTCTCGCTGCATGGAGCGGTTCACCTTAGCAGAGTCCTTAGCAGGTTTGGTGGGAAAACATGTCCAGACCAGAACGTGTGGACCAGATGGTGTGGAGAACGGTCGAAGTAAAGAACACGACTGACACATGGTATAAGGCAATCTGGCGCCTGACATGATAGCATAGAATGTGCAAGTTGCTGATATTGTTGAATCGCGGGATCCCTGGAGCTTGATCCATGAGACTTCTAGCTCACAGAGGTTTGGCCGCTGCCCAAACGGTTCCTTGGGGAAGCATCCCCTTCTCTGAGACCGAAGGGTTCCAGCTAAATCTCATCAATCTGAAGAGCTTTCTTCTCGTCTATTCAGTCTCCTTCCAATCCTTTTAGGTTCCCTTGTGCTACTAGCAGCATTTCGGGCCTCGCTACGGCGAACGGAGCGCTCGCTCGGACAATCGCTACGAACGGGGCTCCTGGCATCGCCACGAACGGAGCAAGGACGCTACTAGGAACAAGTGCATCGCTTCTAGTAACAAGTGCCTTACTAGTAGTAACAAGAAGCTACTAGGGGCTCCTGGCATCGCCACTAGGAGCAAGGACGCTACGAACGGAGGCCCCTTTCCACATCGAACCCCGCCGACTCGAGGCACACAGCCGGATCGGAGCGGTGACTCCGTGCGGTCTGCCGCCGGTCACCACGCCACGTCGGAGAGACGCACAGGTCGGGCCACGGCCGCAAGGGGCGGGTCAGTCGGTCTTGGCGAAAAAGACGATGGCCTCCAACCCAACCTAGTAGCTTCTTGTTACTACTAGTAAGGCACTTGTTACTAGAAGCGATGCACTTGTTCCTAGTAGCTTCTTGTGGCCAGGAGCCCCTAGTAGCTTCTTGTGACTGGTACTTCTTTAAAAAACAATCCTCTTTTGAGTTACTAGGAATGGCCTCCAACCTGGTAGAGTTCGCCTCCACCTGGTAGCGGATGAAAAATGTTGATAGCGTCATTGTATCCCATGGTTTTTCGTTCGGATTCATTTCATGGGAGAGAGAGAGAGAATGACTTGGATGCAGGGGATCCACCTGTTGAATGGTTGGAGTCTTGTTTTCTTATGTTCTACATCCATTGCTCTCAGATGCTGGAAACTGCCTATACTTCAGGCCCTTTAGATGAGATCCATTTGCAGCGTTTCATGGCAGAATTAGTGGGTCTCTTTGGATATCTTTGGATATCTTCCACATCCATCTGTCTTTCCAAGTCTCGAAAAAGAAACAGGTCTGAAGAAAAGGGAGGAGAACGGAAAAGAACAAAAGGAAAGGACGCTACGGAAAGGAAAGAACATCGCAAGCTTGGTCAAACTCACCAAGCTCCCGCAGGTGAGAGATGCTCGACGAGGCAGACTGAGCAGCTCACAAGCCGGTTGTTCAGACTGAACGACTTGGGGCCTTCTGAGTGGATATGACATCATGTGTGAATATGTGGGGTGTAACAGGGGCAAGGACGCTACTAGGGGCTCCTGGCCTTACTACCAGGAGCAAGGACTCTACTAGCGGCTCCTGGCCTTACTACCAGGAGCAAGGACGCTACTAGCGGCTCCTGGCCTTACTACTAGGAGCAAGGACGCTACTAGGGGTTTTGTTTTCATGGAGGAAGTTGAAGAGATCATTGTATGTCGTGTGTTCCGATGCTTTTGGAATGGTCCCATGTTCTACTTCTGATGTCCATTGATGCTTCGTGCGCAGAAGGTGTTATCATTACTTTAAGGTGTTCGTTACTTTTAAGTGTTTATCGTGGTGTCAACCTTTGTCTTCGCTGTAACACACAGGCAAACACAGCTGACCAAGAGACGGGGACACCTTCGCTCTGTGCTGGGAGCCCCCCCTGTAACCTGGCCGTCCAGAAGCCTGCTGCAACAGATCATGGTGTTTTGAGATGCAGACCTCTGGTCGCCTCAACGGTTTGATCCAGATATGGTGAACATGTTGGACAGCTTAGGAACGCACAAATAACTGGACCCTTCCACCATGGGGAGGTGTTTTCCGAAGCGAACGAACCACCAAGACACAGAGATCTTTTTGGATGTGGACAACTCGAAGGCTGGCTTCATATTTAGAGCTCCAGTAAAGGTCAAAGGGAGGGTCCAAAGGTAGAAAGAAAGGACACAAATTACAAAGAAAAAGATGGGTTTAAGGGAGTAAAGTAAGCTTCAACAACAAAAACAGAAAGGTCTAAAGGACTAAAAGTAAAAAGCACAAGAAAAGAAAGAAAGAAAGAAGGTCTATATAGGGCTAAGAGTCCAATTCCCATCTGAGAAAGCTAAGACTGGTTACACCTCAGGTCTGAGGTAGATGTGGGCACAGCTGGAAGTGCATTTCAGTTACATAGCCCCTGCCTCCCTTCCAGTTTCCAGCGGTGAAAAGAGAAACATCAGAATCCAATCCGCTGCATGGCCATCTCTCCACGCCTTGTGTCACAGCCTGGACACCCCATCTGACCAACTGCTTCGGGCTGGGGTATGAACCGGTGACATCGAGACAGGTGGCGCCCAGCAGGGACCTCAGTGGACAGCTTCTTCTGTGTTCTCGCGTTTCCAACGCGCAGCTGGTGGCCAAGGAAAATCTTGAAAAGGATGAAGAGCCACCAGGATACATGCTTGTAGTTGGTGTATTCTGGAAACGAATGTGGTCAGTTCTTCATGATTAAACTTGAGGATGAGTGTTCATTTTGCAGGTGATGATCGTTTGCACATCAGAACACTGGGAGTCGGTAAAGGTGCTTCGTCAATGCTGACCTCCAATGACCGCCGGCCTCCACATACCTCCACATGCAGAGTGGGTTCTGTGTCGAATTGGAGGCCATTGCTACTAGGTTGGAGGCCATTCCTACTAGTAACTCAAAAGAAGATGGTGTCGAATTGGGACTCCACATCAACTTCACTCCCTTGAGACCAAGCCGATGGAACACATGAACACACTGCGAGTGCGGTCAACACCAGGGGACAGAAGACCGGTCTCTTGACTGACCTTGGGCTGGGAATGACCCATCATCCGAGGTGCCAAAACACCCTTGCTACGTTCGTAGCGATGCCCTTGTTACCGTCCTTGTTCCTAGTACGGGTAGTAAGGCCAGGAGTCCCTAGTAGCGTCCTTGCTCCTAGTAACGATGCTTTTGTACCAGTTGGCTTCCGACACGACTGGACTAGTTTCGAAAGCTGTCACAGTTCAGGTCGGCTCGCTAAGCGACGCACTGAGCACCTGCCTTCGGCGTCCGGGGCAAGAGGCCCTGGTCGCGCATTCGGTGGGAGATGTCCCTGAGACTTTGGCCACTGTCCAAGCGATGCCGGCAACATTTGCACCTGAATGATGTCCCCACTTGTCATCTTTCTTTCTCTTTTTTGATCGATGAAATCTACTGTATAAACACACATATAACTTTTCCATCAAATGATCCAGAAAGAAACCAGATTCTGAGACAACCAGAGATCAGGCTGTGGTCCTCCCGCCGGATCCTTCGTCATGCTGGAAAAAGAAAAAGAGGATCCGTTGCTGAATGAGGATGAATGTACAACTTACACAACCTACTTGCGATGGCCTCCAAACCTACAGGCGATGGCCTCCAACCTGAGAGTGCAGATGTGAGGCCACGACGCTTCCAGCTCCAAGTGGTCCAGCGCAAATGTACAACCAAGTGATCCAACGCGTCCGGCTCCAGATCAGATCCCAAACGCGTCCATGATCTCAGCGTCCCGTGGAATGTGGCGGTTCGATGTCACGTTCGGCATCTTTGGACAGAAACGGGCCACCCGGAGGAAGAGTTTAAAGACGGAAGAGGTTCCAATGAGCATGCACTTGGAACCTAAAGGTTGAGAAATTCCTGCGCTTCGACAGTGAGGTGATGTTGAAAGTGAAATTGGTTTAGGAGTGAACTTGGAGGATGGATATGAGTTGCTCATCGGAAATAGGATGACGTAGAGTGCCTTACTTTAGTCACTAGTCCGGGTTTTTGCAGGGCGGTTTGTTTGCAAGCTTGAAGGCCTTGGAAACTGGGTGCTACGATTTGTTGGTGCGAAGAGAAAAGAAAGGTCTAAAGGTTCAAGAGAAAGAAAATAACAAAAAGAAGAAACTAAGAGCGATGGCCTCCAACCTACTAGCGATGAAGAAGGGTCTAAAGTCTAAAGGTTGTAAAGAAAGAAGGAACATAAAAGAGTTATGCTGACATGGATCGTGAGAATAACCCTAAGAATGATCCTTGACTAACTGCTCCTTTCTTTTCTTTTCCTGACCCCAGCGCTAAATCAAGGTTTTGTTTTTCTTGTTTTGCTCAAATTTTCCTCATTATCATATGTGTTTCGAAGGGATTAAGCACAAAAACTATTGACACGTTCAGTTGAATCTCCTCGAATTCCTCGCTTCACTAGTCATCAGCGTGCTCGAACGAAAGAACGGAACACGTTTGCTGAACCGAAGATGGAAGTCGTAAAAGGGTCTCTCAGAAGAGCTACATCAGTGGATAACCCTCAATCGTAGCTTCTTTGCTCCTAGTAACGATGCCAGGAGCCCCTAGTAGCGTCCCTGCTCCTAGTAGTAAGGCCAGGAGCCCTAGTAGCGTCCTTGCTCCTAGTAGTACGGCCAGGGGACACCCTTCTTTCCTTCTTTCGCAACAGACACGTCGAAAAGGACAAAGCGGCAAAGGAACTGAATTCAGCTGCCACCCGCGTGCCTTGCACTCAACGACCTCCACCGAGCATCAATTTAAACGAAAAGAAAATCCAGCCGCACCAAAAAAGAGACTGAGAATATAGAGGAAGCAATAAAAATGAAGCTTTGGGGTCTGCCATGTAGGCCGCTGTGGGCCGCTGTATTACAAATTATGGGATCGCGCGCAGCCAACTGATTGGGGACACCCCACTCATATGGATCTTTTTTCGGAAGTTCGAAACACCATGCTCTCTTGCTTCTAGCTACTAGTAATGCCCTTGTGACCAACGACTGCGATGTTTTCAGATCTCGTTGCTCAAATCGATTTTTCCCCGGTGCCCAACCGGAGTTCTGAGGTGTGACTCCTCTGACCGGACCAGCGCCAGCGTCGCGACGCCAGCGACCCGACGGAGTGGGACCCGATGGAGTGGAACCGGTCGAGACCAGGATGGCGGAAGCAACAGGGGCTCCTGGCATCGCTACTAGGAGCAAGGGCCTTACTACTAGAAACAAGAAGCTATTAGGAATTAACAAGCAACAACCTCATGGTGTTCTCCGGAAGACGGAATTGGGGTGAAAACGATTTCAACTTCGTGTGCCGCCGTTGGGATCGGCCATGTGCGCGCCGTTCTGGTAGGTTTGGGGGGCCGACCTTTCGCACCTAGGGGCTCCTGGCCTTACTACTAGGATCAAGAAGCTATTAGCTTATTGTTTCTACTAGCTTCTTGTTACTACTAGTAAGGCACTTGTTACTACTAGCGATGCACTTGTTACTACTAGGAGCAGGGACGCTACTAGTAACCACAGGGCTCTCGGAGCTGCAACAGAATTCATCATTTCATGGCGTGCGACGGACAAGCGGATCGTCTTTATGAAAAAACGCGAAAGAAAAGAATGTCGACCCAGCTGTGGCTTGGGGCTCTCCACCACTTCTCCAGCCGTCCTGGTTTGTCCCCAGTCACCCCACCCACTCCGCAGGTCTTTGAGCCGAGCAAATACCCAGATGGGGAGTGCAACTCTGGCCAGCTGACCCATCCCGACTCTTCGTGTGTGCGAAGAGCGTGCCGCCTGCGCAAGCATACACGTCAGAAGATCAAACAGCGGGCACCTTGGTGGAAGGAATGTGGAAGGTGCTGCAGCATGGAGCGTTTGGAGATTGGTTGATGGAACAGGTCTCCGGCACCACCTGTGCTTGGACAAGACTGTGAATAGTTAGCCGTTAGCTATGTGATTCTGCATTTCAATGTGGTTGAGCAAGAACTTTTCCCGGGGACGCCACAAGTTTGAGAGGCTTTGCAGTTTGCATGTGCATTCTTTGTGCCAGCATAGTCATTACAAGGTATATGCAACACGCAGATTATGTGTTGTGACATGTTAAATGGGATTATATATATATATATACCTTATGTACCCAATTATATACAACTTGCATCACATATAGTATATAATGGTTTGGCCGTAACAAGTGTGCAGAAAACAAAGGTATGCAACGCAAAGGTTTTTGTTGTTCTAATTTCAGGTTTGTAACAGGTTCATATCAATTAACCATATAGTGTTGTTTTGCCTTACAGGTGGCCCACCACCGTGGTACATAGATACTCCGGTCAGAAGCCATGTGAAAGGCTCTTCGACACATCCTTTCGAACCCTTAAGAAAAGAAGCAGCCCTAAGCATCTTGACGCAAGACAATGGAGGCCAGTAGGCTGGAGGCCATCGCTAGTCGGGAAGCAATGGAAATGGCTTGGTTCGGGTCAGGACCCTTTCAAGGAGGAACCTTCCGCGAAGGTGTCGAGGTCCAAGGATAGGAACTAGAAGGAAGCCCGCCTGGTCCACTGGGGAGTCCAGACCAGTTTGGTATCCGAACCTGAAAATATATCCAGGTCCGGAGCAAAAGCACCAATCCGAAATTGAGGTTCAAACAGAGTAATTATCAGATGATTGGCTTCCGAGAACCTCTTTTCCAAAGTTTTTTTGGTAGGAGGGCATTGTCTTAGATCCGAAATGGCACTTATTTACGATGACTTTAGTAGTTCTGGGTTGCCCACAACTTGTTCATTCAAGACTTCACATCCAAAGAGTGTTCAATATAACTTAGCAGACGGCTTGCAGTACTGTTCAGTTGGATCTTTCTTTGTTTGGCTATCTATGTACCACCTTTTTCCATGGATATTATATGTCATCTAGCATGTTCCAGTCGTTTCGACTTTGTTTGCAGTGTGAATCAATCGAGCTCCACCTGAGATCGGCGTTGTTTAGCCCCAACTGGAGTCGGTATTTTTTTCGAGTCCTTCCTTGCTCCTATTAGTATGGCCAGGACCCCCTAGTAGCGTCCTTGCTCCTAGTAGTACGGCCAGGAGCCCCTAGCGGCGTCCTTGCTCCTAGTAGCGATGCCTTTTGCTACTAGTAACTAGTAGCTACCTGTTGCTACTTAGGACTGATTCTTGAAGTGTTCTTGGCTCGTGGAAGGTGTTTGGCCGACCCCAGGTCTTGCGGCTGTTGGGTCAGCGTTCTGCCCAAGCACGCGAAGAATTGCAAGCCCAAGCAGTTAGGACCAGAATTCGCTCGGATGTTAAAAGGGCACTTCCATGAATTCAGAGTTGTTTTCAAGGATGTACCGAAGTCCAGTTCCTTTTCCGTTTTGACACGCGCCGCTGATGCTGGAGAGACGAGACAGCCAGTGGATAGTGCCCGGTGAAACATCATTTTCATGGATGGGAACGCAGAGCTGCATCGTCGCACTTGCGGAAAACCTTTTGAAGAGGCGCGTGCATATGCCCGAACCAAAAAAAGAACTTGTAGAATCTGAAATACATGTGGCTACCAGTCCTTCTCCCTTGCACCTCCCGCATCCGCATGTGCTTGCTGCCTCGGCTGTCCCTTGTGATGGTCCGCGGTTGCTCTGCCAGACCTACCGGCAAGGAGCCGCACCTATGTCGGCAGACACTGTGGCCCTTCGTTTGGTCCAAACTCTCCACGCCACTGACAATGTGCAGCTCGTGGAAATGTTGCGCCACTGCCGCACTTGGCAGCCAGCGTGTACCATGCCGGAAGAGAACCTCACACAGCACTTCGCCAAGCAAGCAGATGCATCAGGCTGTGCTGCTTTAGTGCACAAACGCACCGAGAAGAGCGGGTCGTTTTTGCCTAGCCAATGACATTTCTAGCTTCTAGCTTCTTGGAGCTCTGTCCGCCCAATCTTCAGACCGCGCAACGATAGGATACGATAGGAGGAGGACGGCCGTGAAGAAGACAGGTTGATTTTGTCTGCCATTTGTATGCTGGAGAAGACAGTGGCTTGACGTTGGGAGGGCCTGGAAACCGAGCTCCTCGACTGGCATCATCACGACACGCTTTCGGATGACCGACCGTATGGCGGATTGATCCCTGCTGTCCTCCAAAATCGTTTGAAGGCCTTGGTTGGAGGTCCGCTCAGTTTTGACACAGTACGCTGGGGAGGGGGAGCCACTGCCGAGACCTGTCCGGAGACGGGGAGGAGAAGAAAATGGGGTCCAGGATGTGGAGAGGAAGGGAGGAGGAAGATTCAGGAGGATGACAAGTTGCTTTGGCGCATGTGTTTTTCTTCAACTGCTGCCCGCCGCTGATTTGGAGAGGGCAAG